TATTTATAGTTGTAATTTATTGGCTACCGGAGTAGCAGTAATTTACGAATGAGCGGTGAGTAAAGGTAAAGGAGGATGTTTCTCGAAATAATCGCGTTTTATCCGTTGATTTAGTATCATCTCGTAAAATATTGAGGACGGACGCGCGGTGCATTGCACATTTAAAACTCTCGCATTCGCGTGCGCTACAAGGCCGCGGGACGCAGGGAAAGATTTTCTATATGCCTGATCGATGCGCACGCGGGGACACGGCGAGTGTGGTGGATAGCGAAACCGCAGACATGTGCAAGGCGAGCATGAATTAAATAATCTAGGTTGATTTTACCTTGCGCGTCGTCCCGATGCGTCATCATTGAGGAGAGCTACGTTTATGACTAGATCATCCGACGTTGCTCACGCACGTCAAAAGCCACGTTACATCTCGCTCACGTGATACAAGAATGAAGCTAAAATAACCGCCGCAACGTAGCAATTCTACAATGTCAAAGATCAGATGCTCCGGTACTATAGCTTTAGAACTGACGACGGCAATGTAAGCTAGCGGCAGCGAGCAATGTTCTTATACAGCGAATCTTACTGGTATAATAAATAAAAGTATAGATGTAAAAAAAATATATTTCAGTTGACTATGATAAAACGTAAATATTAATAATATATAAATAACGCCTTTACATATACATTATATATCTGCAAACCTTTTCTAACCATTTTTTACCTCAAATCTACTTCGAATTGATGTGAAAATACAAAGAAATGCAACTGGCATTTGTATAACATTTTCTTTGTTCATAAGTGCGATGTAACATCTTTCTAATTTATTAGTTACGCGCAAAATTATATGTATAAGTTGCCTGCACAAATTCCTTCTACCCACAGTCCTATTTACAATCAATAGCACGGAGAATGATGAGTTAACATAATGTACCATTGAACGCTTGTGAAGAATATTTCTTTCGTTTTCTCCAATACATGACGCAGTCGCGACTTATGTAAGACGACGCTAAAGTGTGTACGTACGTATACATGTGTGGCCAGTTATGCAATGGTCCGAATTTATCACTTTCTCGGGTCGCTTTATATAGGACACACACACTATCTTACCGTAGTGCCATAGGGGACCTCATAAATATTAATACGGTAGCGTATAAGAGCGCAACTATGCGGAGTAAGGCCGCGCGCTCAATAAGGCCGCCTACTATCGAGGGCCCGACGTAATGTCCTCCGGCTGTTCGCAGGGACATGTTAGAAAGGGAAAAGAGTTCGCACAAAAACTCACATACACGTATTCTCAATTAATTCGTGAACGCGTTTCTCAAGATGCGGCTCGAATCTTTGCAATTAAAATTCTCAATTCTACCGGCGACAATCCTCTATTCTGTCTTCCATTTGTAAAAATAAACGTAATAGATATTTACATTGGTGATTGTTGCCGTTCAACTTATTTATATTAATTTCTTTTTATTTTTCATAAAATTTACATCGAGAAAAAATAAAGTCAACTAAATTATCTAGTAAATTGTGTCGTAATGTTAATAAACCCGAAAAAATATAAGAGAAAACATTTTAAAAATTTATTCTTCGCATATTAAATGGCATGCAAAGAGAGAATAAAAGGGAATATAAATTAACTATGATTATTGCTAAGGAGAACATGAGGTATAAATGTGCCAAAGTAAAATCAGCCAATTAACGGATTCTCAGATTTGTTCGTTTCATGGTTTGCTTCGAGACGACTTCCAGCTTATTAGCCTAATTTGCACGTTGCCCGGTAGAAATATTAAATTCGTTGCCTCGCTCAAAACACTCTGCGAATTGCGCAGGCGAAATAAACGCGCAGTAAACGTGCAACGTACATTTGTTTCATTTCATTTCAATTTTTTTTTTTTTTTTTAGCGAAGTGGAATCTCGGGATGGTCGCGCGCGCTGGTCTGAAACGAGGGTTAAGATCTATTAAAGGTCGCAACGTTAGTGATAACAAATGGTAATCAGTGAGATGCGCGATAAACAATGCGGATACCGCCCATGAAGCGGGAGCGGCTACTCGTTAATTAGATTTTTTGATTAACTATATATAAAGCTGGGACTGGCGCACGGCGCGCTGAGGCAGGTGGTCACTCTCGCACGTGTTGTGCACGCACACGCGCTTACACACGTGCACACGCGGATCCAGTGCATTCCTTCTCGTAATAGGCGGACCCCGAGGTCTGGAACTTTTCGTCCCGTGATACGTTTCGGAACGAGCGAAAGAGTCGAACGACGCGAAGCGTTCACCTCTCAATGCGTTTGATTGATGGCAAAGTGATTTATTTTTTCAACTTGACAAAGACGAGGAAGTGATCTTAAAATTACATAATTAGTAAAAGATATTAATTAATTGTAAAAGATAAAAGGTAAATGTGAATTTTTTACTTTTCTAAATTTTTTCTATTTCCAATTTTTACTTTTCTATGTTTTTTCCCTGGCTCATGATGTTTTAAATTATTCAACAGCTTGAAGCCAAAGAACACACACACATAAGATGATAAAAGACGATGCGTTCTTGTTTGCAAGATATAAAAATATCTTAAGTATATATTCTCAAGGATTTGCGTGTCAGACAAATTTTCGCGTGCTCGTAAAATCGCGAAGGACTCCGCCGCTTTCGAGCAATAGCAACTTTCACGTTATCGCGATTTTTCTCGTCGCGATATTTTTGTTGCACGACGATGAAATCGAGAAACTAGTTTGCATCCGTGGCCTGTTCAGCCGTCTTAAGAAACGGCATGTAGCTCCGGCCGCTCGAAAAGATGAGAAAAATCTATCCATTTTAATGCAAATTGTTCCCCTCGCTCGTATGAGTCTCAACGAATGAAACGCTTCATCAGAGAGTGTCGACGGAGTATAAAAAAACGGAAACACAGAAAGATGTAATAAATAATAGATAATGGAAAATGAATTTATGTTACAATAACTGTAGCGTATAATACGTATTATTCGGCTACTTCCGTAATGATCAAGTCATATATAACGCATTCTTATAAAGATTGCGGGAAGCAATTAGCAGTCTTGCTAATGCTGTATGTAATAAGTTAGAGATGGTATAGCCGTAAATATATACATTAAGCACAGAGATTCGTTGGCGATATAATCGCACGCGATGGAAATCGCCGAAGAATGTGACGTCCATAAATAGTTACGGATATTTAATTCGTGTTTCTCTCTCTCTTTCCCTCTATCTCTTCTTCTCCTTTCTTCATTTGTTAAGTACAATAAAAATGTGTAAAATGACAAACTATTCTTAGGTACTTTATTTTGGGTACGTCTTCCCTAATTCTTTATCAGCTCTGTAATAAAAATATATAAAGCATAAATGCAATGTATATTTCAAAATGTAAGAAAAGAAATACTAAAATATATGTGTATATATTTAGTGTAATTGTATTATAATTAAAATTTTTTATTATAATACATATTTACTTATATATATTTTATATATCAAGTATCTTAAATATTAATATAATTTTCGCTTCTTTTTATCGTGATGTATATCTACATTTGATGAATAATATATGTATCTGCAAAAATATAAATTGATTTTGCATATTCATTGCTGATATATCGCGGTTGCATATAATTTGAGTCAGCATGGCACATAGCGTTGTAGAATGCCGTTTTTTTTTGTTCGATGATTTATGTATTTATGATTTTCTTTCTCGTTCTATGTCACGTTAAACATTATGCATATTAGCAAAGCGAGCAAACAGGAGGAAGATAAATAACGAGACAGTACGAACTTATCAAATCATGAAACGATTTTTAAAATTTCTCTCTATATGTTTAATCACGCGATACTTTGCTAAAGCATAAATCCTCTTCGTTTAAGTATTATAATCAAGTGGTCTTTATCTTCGTTGAATTGATTAATATACATGCACCGAAAAATATTGTCTACCTTTCACTTATTAAACCTGCACTTGTTACTTATACTTGATATTTATTATTCATCGCTCTTTAATTTTATATTAATATTATGTCATGAGATAAAAAATTCAATAACTCAAGAAAGTACAAAACTAGATTTTTCTTAAAAAAAGAAAAAAAAATTTATATAAAAACTATCACAAAGGTTTATTGCATCTTCTTTCTTGTGGAAACGTTTTACATAATCTACAATCAATTCTTTTAGTAATGAAACATGATGAATATAATATTTAAGTTATAAATAATTAAACCATAGCAAATTTTCTACAAAACATTCTTTTTGTGTTTTTAGTTAACTTTCATTAAAATCAGTTTTAATAAGAAAAAGAAATTTTAATTTAAATATAAAATAATAAAAATATATAACAATATTCAACAATATTATGAGTAAAATTATAATAAAAAATGAAATTTTAAATTAGTAAAAACATTAAGGAAGAAAGAAAGAAAAAGAGAGAGTTACGAAAGAAACTGGAAACACTTTAAAATACTTCAGCTTTAGGAATCCGGATGTTTGAATGACAGTAATCATTCCGGCAGATCAAACTTCGCGGTCATGTCGTAATACATATCCTGAGCACTGAACTCTTCACGCGGTCGAGATAAAATATCGAAAGAAATACTATAGCTACGTCTCAATTTTTTATAATTGAAAATAAAATGGCATAAAATATATTAAATTGTTATTATATGTAAGATGTAAAAAAGCAGTTCTTTATCTTGCAATATTATTGTTTATTTTCTAGGACATTATATGGTTTTAAAACCATTTTTTAATAAAGTATAAAATTTTTCTACGTAAATATATTTGTAAAAATAATTTCGTTTGTCAGTGCTTCAAAATATGGAAGCATTGGAGCAGACATGACAAGCTTGTTTTTTGGTCGGAGTTAGGTAGTCAATGCAGCTAGGTTTCCCGCGGAAACCGCGCGTTTGACAACACATCCGCATGCAAAAGCGCGGTTTCCGGCGCGTTCGAAACGGCGTGTTTGAAACTGCGGAGAATTCTTGTCTTGGAATAACAGTTTTCTCGTACTTACCTGGCCGACATCGAACACCACCAGGAGCCAGCAGCACACCGCCGCCGTCGGCAGCAACCTCCTCATCGCGACGGTTATTTTGCCGGATGACCCCCGCCCGCGCGTACTGACTGCGTCGCAGAGCGTGTCGCACTCGTCGAAGGACCCGCCGAAGCCGAAGGCCAGTCTCTCACGTCACATTTTCCTCGTTCTCCGAGAAGAGTCTCATCGTATCCGCCGAGGTACGGTGACGCGATAGTTCAGCGCGCCCGCGACGTGACCACGAGACCTGCCACGAGGCCGTTCTCCTCTCGCACGCACGCCCTTGCTGACGCGTTGGTACCGCGATGTAGCCTCGGAAATCGCCTGGGAAAGTCGGCACGGCCGCGGCGACGAGGATGATCGCTGGCGGGTGTTAGACTGGCGCAATAATGACTGCGCTCGCCGAGCTACTCCGAGGGACGCTCAGATGTTCGGCTTTCTGGTGGGGATGGAAGTGGCCGTAGTGGCCATTCCCTCTTCATCCGACCCGCTGTATACGCGATGCGGGCATTCATGTCTCCGGATTCAGCATAGCTCAGCATAGCTTGCTGGATGGTTGCTGGTACCGTCGTGAGAGGACGGTACGGAGCAATCAAGTGGTTGGCAACCGCGGTTTCTGATGTATCAGCGAGGGGCTTAGCACTGTTGAGCTTGGTGCAAGTTAGGCTTAGCATTGTTGAGTTAGTATAGTTAGTATTGCCGGCAGCAACGTGCAAAAAATAAAATCAGTATTTTTAGATAATTTTAGACAATTGTCAAGATAATATTATAACATCGTAAAAGCAATTAAGTAATATTGTAAAAGCAATAAAAAAAAGATGCTAATAACAACTCTTCTAATCACTCGAATCGAGTTATTAAAAAAATTTGTGCCACTTTATGATTGCTAATCTCTTCAGTACATTTATAAATATTCAGAGAGAAAAAGATCTTTGTTCAATCTTTTCAATCTGTAAATGTCTGGTTGCTAAATTGTGCTTAAAAATTCTTGAAAATTGTATAGAATTTTCGTAAAATAATAACCCGATTATTTCGCTGATTCAATATTAAATTAATTACTTAATAATTCATCGAGTTAATATTAATCGCTTCTTATATTTCAAAGATCTTTAAAACAATGGTAACAATATTTATTTTATTAATTATTTAATTAACCAGCAGAAGAGGATTTTAGTTAATCTTGATTTGACTACTATTGGCATTTTCGTACATATTGCCTTCATTTTTTTCTTCAGATTCTCTTCCATAAATACTTAGGTATCGAACGTGATTGGCTAAATATAAATTACACAAATCTGACGTAATGGAATCAGGATATCTATGATTTAAAGATATACACGCCAGAAACAATGAAAAAAATAGAACAACGTACAACAACGTTGGTGTACTACTGGCAACAACTACTAAAACCGGTTCGGAGAGACTCAAAAATTATAATGAACGACCCGTGTAGAGTCTCGACCTAGACTGGTTCGACCTATCGTGATTAAAGGAGACGTACAGATCTTTCAAGTGCGTGCCTATCAGTTTCGAAGATAACACTCGGTTTCCTTTAAAAAATCCGCATTGTGACATTCTAGGACAGGCTTCGATGATTTCGATCTATTATTCGTACTTTCGTATGTATTGCTGTCGCGGATTCTTCATCAAAGCGATATTTAAAACGTCACAGTGTACAGACAAAGACTTCGTACAAGACAATAGAAGCGGCATGCAATCATTCGCGAGTAATATGCGATACATCTCAATCTGCAGTGACATATATTGTCATCTGAGACAATATCAATTGTATTACGTAGACACATCAATAGCTGCGAATGAGAAATGTTACTTATATAATTAATGTTTTCCTCTGACTTCAAAGATGAACGTATATGATATTTATCATTCTTTTAGCACATAGAGATTAATAATAGGTTATTTTAACTTCAAGTTTCATAATACTGATTGTTTTATTCTTAATTAATATCAAGACACTGATTATAGTTTTAATTTAAATTATTGTATCATAATAATATTTTTTTGTTGCTTATGCATCATAATAAAATAAAGATAATTTTAAAATAAATGGATAACTAACTAAGGTCTTTTGATAATAAAATTAACAAGCAATTTAAAAGGTGAGTTTTGACAACGCGATTAACAATGCGTAAATTAACGTTATAACAATCTCAAAATCTCGAGTACTTGCAACTCGTGTGTTCGCGTAACTTGGCGCGAGACACTGCCGTGTCTCTTGATTCTATAAAAATATTTTATATTCCAGTAACAATTCTATGTATATCTTTTTCTCTCTTCTTCTAGTGTTTTAATTTTTTATGCGTAATATAAATTTTAATCGATCTTAACATCTTGTTAATTTTGTATCCGGGTATTTGGACATGGGTGAAAGTTACTTAGTACTGATTTAAAGAAGTGGATTTACTGCAACGTCATCTTATATCCGTGAGATCTTTTATCGGATTACTGGCAACGAGATAAGAAGTTTGACAGCTCAAAGTCTTCTTACTGCTCTTTCATCTACATTCGGTGAATTTGTCGAGAGATTCGAAGAGGAACTTTGTCGCGTATCGATTGAAGTTTCCTTGAAACGAACGGGAGTCTCTCGGTTACGCTTCTTTAAATGCAAATAATGTGAACGCGTTATATAGGGCCTCCTCGCCTCGTCCTTTAGAGAACTTGTAAAATATTTATACAAATTTTATATTCTTGATGATTTCGCCTTGACATTCTTTATATATTCCAAATATAGTATTAGGTATATAGTCTTATTGACGAGCTTCTTTATAAAGATACGATCACAATTATATACATAGTATGTAAAATAATATCGGCTACCTTTTAATAATTGTACAATCTAGTAAACCATAGAGAGAGATTATAGAATATTGCTGCACACAGCATAAAAAAATGTCTAAAAAATATCTGCATTTTTCAATTACTTAATTTTTACTCGCTTACAATATTTTTTTACTCTTGAAATAAATTGTATTATCTTTTATTTAAAAAACGATTCTTAATAATATCAGTTTAGTTATTCTTTTGCGTCGACTTTTCCAATAAGAAACTTTCCAATAAGAACTCTCTGTCAGGTACATCAATATTGCGAAGAGTTTATTGTCGCTGATAAATTTCTTCTCAAGCATAGCTTCATATAATATTGCGTCTCACATAGAATCTCACAAGGGATGTCAAACTCTCCGCGTTCTTAATAACGTCCGGGGTTGTATTCAATTCCGTCATACATTCGCCCACGCTCCCCGCGAGTTATTTGATTCTTCCCCCTCTGAAAAAGAAACGTCATTCCTACGTCATCGATTCGACCTCTTCGCTTTCAAGAAAAAAAAAGAATAACTTTTACTACAAAAATCGCCCTCTTATTGTTCCTCGGGGTGGGGTGGTGACGCTCTTAATGACGTGAAAGTTGCACTCGTCGAGAGAGTGCGAGAGCACGTTAAAAGCAAGTTTCATCTCCAGTCGGCAAGTAGGCGGACCGCGTTTGACATGCACCGAACAATCTCGCACAAATACCAACAGGCAGGCGAGGGGTTGCTTCCTTTTTTGTTTCCCCCTACCCTGGCCCATTCTTCGCGTACGGAATCGTACGCGTCCGCGACGGGTTGTGCGAGGGAACCCCACGCGAGGGGGACGCGAGAGGAACTTGGTATAGATGATAAGGGGTTGCGCAGGCGCCAGCATATCGACCAGGGTAGCCCTCCGGGCGACACCCTCGCGATTCTCCGCCGAGCCTCACTGCTTCATCGGCAAACTAGTGGGTAGTACACGCACGCGACACAGGTAAGTGACCGTAGTTTGAGAGAGTCCGCACGAGTCCAGGCGAGATTTTCAAATTCCGTGCCCCGTAGGAAGATCGATCTCGCCGAGGAACGGCGATTCCGCTTAAAAAAATCGCGATTCCCTCGGAAGCACGTCTTTTCGTAAAATATCGTTTTGCCGGTTCCGGCCCCGTGGAGTACGCAAGGTGACAGGCTGGTGGCGCGCACCACCTTCACGTGACGGCTGTCTTCGCCGAGCGGGGTAGTTTCGATGCCTCTCTCGGGGTAGTTTCAACGTCGCTCTCGATAGTCCGCTCGATAAGGCTGTCGATAAGACGCGCAGATAAACGTCGCAATAACGTCGTTTGCAATAAACGCCACGGGCCACGGGTAACGGTAAACGAGTCAACGCGATAGAGAGTGTCCGAGCGATCGCTTTATTAAGCGAAAGCTCGAATTAACCATCTTTGCGTAGCGAGATCGCCGAGGTAAGATTACCGCCGCTCTCGTATTGACGGCGACGACAAGTCGACGTGTGTGGGCGGTCGTTGATAAATTGGATCGTTATCTACCTTGAATGAGTAGTGTATATTTTGGTACGCAAGTGCAGTTTTCGGATTTACGTCCATTGCGCAAGATTCCGGTGTCTCGGTCGGACGGGGTACAATCGATGTTCAGTCATAAATAGTCGGGGGGATAGCCGGGGAAACGAGAAACGAATGCGATAATTTTAGCAGGAGTGACACACTCCCGAATTTCGGGAGACGATAAAGCAGTAGCGAATGTGAGTGTGTGTGTTTTACGAAGCGGTACCCTTCATTGATTTTTCTTTTTTAGGGACAAATTTTATTTTACATTAAAGTTCTCCGGCGAACCTCTCCCGATCTCTCCTTTCGTCGTGACATTAATAAAAGCGACTTTTTCTTAGAAAGTTTTAGTCATGGCCGCCGGGATGGATCTTAACGATCAGCGTAAACGAGAATATTCTTTTGCGCGATAGCGCTCCTCTTTCTTTATGCGCTTTAAACTTATTTCTTTGCAAACGTTATTCGCTCCTTTACTGGTTTTAGCATTAATACATGTAAATTTATCTTTGTAATAAGAATGGTTAAAAGTGACTGTCTTTAATATCGTGGACTTGGATCATAATTCGCGATATGATAGAAGATAAACCTAGAAACATTTCTCAAGCTAAAATTTTTTACAAGAAAGCTTCAAAAGAAGGCAAAGAATGGAGATTAGCTTGAAGTTGCTGAATTTAATCAATACTGATGAATTCGGTCATTAATCTTGCACAACAATCTGTCTTTATCCATCTCTATAAAATGTCAATTGCGATACATAATAAATGCAATCTATAAAAGTTAATAAAGAAAAACCTGACTCATTTATTTTTCAACAAGTTTATCGATTACTCTTGAAAGTACTTAAATAAAAATTCGATACCCGTAGTTGGCTGCATCTTTCAGCTTTAAGACACTATATATACGGATTAGTGGAGATTCTTCCTGTTACGCAATTTTTTGTAACATTTATTTTATGTCAACCTGAGAAAAATATGTCATAGATATATTCAGCAGACATGTTAATGCAAAAATTTCATTAGGATTCCAATGTGAGTTAGATGCAGAGATTAAAACAGACAGAACGCGGCAATCTTTTAGACGAGATCTAATCTTCGTAATTACGCGAATTCAGACAGCACCGGTGGTACAATATATTTGCATTTGAAATTATGAGGACATGTATTATGAGAATATAATTATAATATGATGCACAAAGTGATATTTGCGCTAAATTTAATGCGAAATTTAATACATTATTAACATACATCCGTGAAATTTATTCACATTATAGATACTTACGTCATCATGCTGTAGCAAACTTTTAATTAACATGTTTTTTTAATTAATATAGATCAAAATATCCTGTTTCAATATTTTATAATTGTATCAGAAGTTTATTCTATAAAAAACAATGAAAATACTTTATTGTTTTTGCTGAATAAATCTCGTGTCAAATTTCGACGTTTGTCTGATTGGATAGAACCTGGATAAGCCGGATGTATTGATTCTTACACCATCTGTGATTTAATGATGATTAAATGTGTCGGAATAGGATTGGACTGTAATTATCTGTACAATCGTATTACCACCTACACTACCTATTAGGATGTGTAAAATTACACAGTGACCTACTTGCTAACGTTAAGTGATTCTAGTATTTAAGTAATTCTTCTAACATTAAATTTATAAAGAATTATTATTCACAATCTTCATTTAGAATCGTAAAAAAAATCATAAATGAATAATAATCATTCTTACTTTCAATTAGTACCTAATATTAAGATCAATATTTTATTGTGTTTTTATATGAGCTATATTTCGTTTGACATTTATCAATTATTTTCTCATATGTTTTAGAATAATGATTAAATATCTCAATCCAGAGCTATTTCATTTTGTAATTAAAATGTTGTCATAATCCCAATTTAAACTTTTAACTTTACAAAACTTTGTATCAGGTAACTTATCGTCTATTACACATACCACATACCAGGCTATTGTTGAGACTCTCTTGATCGTACGTAACATATAGCTGTTATAGGAATTCGATGCATGCAACGGTATTGTGCGTGTAAAATGCTTGATGAGCTGTATCCACGAGCGTAACTCATCAACACGTAATGACTCGTTTACCACTTCGCGGTCTAATAGGTTAGGTGCTATTCGCGGCGCAAGAATAATTCTATGCAATGTATTACACTAATCTGCTGAAACTTGCGAAATACCATCACATGGAAGTCGTTATAAGTGGAAATTAACTTATTTCTCATTGGTTCATCTACTTTATCCCCCCTGTAATTTTATATAAATTATACCCTTGCGCGATTTGAATCGATCTCCTGAAGTAACAACAAACTTTGCCTGAAGGCAAAGCTGAAATCACTACAATATCGGAAAAAAGTCAAAGACTCGAATTAAGACTTCAAAGAATAACCTCGGAATGAAATACGTACGGAATACCTACGACCCAGATATCCATTCAGCCGCAAGGTCTACGGTAAATTTAGAATTTTCCCTTCGCAAGATCTTGATGCAAAACTCATCACTCGTCGTATATTCTTAAATATCTTGTTTCCTTAAAATTTAGTTTATTAAAATTTAATTTAAAAATGCTAAATTACATTTATAGCGTCTAAATCAACAGATTTTTCTTAAATTTTAATGTTATATAATAAATCTTATAAAATGTTTTAGTGTACAAAAAGGACCAACTATTTTGCTCTCAGTTTGACGTGTAACGTCTAGTGTATAGGAACAATTCTGTGAGCTATTGCGATGTTTGTCTGCATCGTCAAATCGAATCGCGAGGTTTTCTTCTCGAGCAATGCTCCGAGAAAGTTGAAAATTACACGCGAAGTTTGCTAGTTCCGCGAAACACGGACGTCGCTATTATCAGAGAAGTACGGAAGAAACAAATACGGACGGTCGGAATGTATCATTGCTTCCTCGACGCTTATCCTCCCTCTCTCCCTCTCTCTCTCTCATCTCCTCTTCTTTTCCTACGGTGTGAGCATAGAATTATCCCGCGAGCTCTTCAAGGAAGATCACCGCTCTACCCGGGGTGATACGATCGACGAGCAAGCCATAGAAGTAACGTTTCCGTGCCGCGCGTATGTTCCAAGAACACGTAAATGCCGGTGAACTCGCGCGATGCCGTGAAGCATTTTAGAAATTCCAAGCAAAATCGCGCTCCGACTATCGATTTTCGCGTGCCTTATATTACGAGAGTCATTGGTCGCACCGGTTACATCCATAATTTCCTTAATGCACAATACGTGATTTCGAAGTGTTCTTTATGACCAGCGGCAGATTTAAGAGCGGCAATTTTTTATCATTAATTTTTAGAAAATTCAAGAAAGGATTTTTTAATTATATAGCTATATAATGGGCTGTACTATTGCAAGTGTAGTCTTACCTATTTCGTGAGTTTTGAATTTATTTTGAATTGGAATTTTTTTCATACTTCTGCGAGCGCCTGGTCTGAATAATTCATAAGAAAAAAAAAATAAATCTCGTATCTTTGACGCAACCTTTATTGTCGTAATAATGTACACAAGCATTCACAAAGCATGGCATAAAGAAAATAACAGGAACATAAGCCAGTTTTATGATCTTAGCTTACTGTTTCCAATACACAAGAGAAGCCAATTACGAAAAGACCTTTGGGACAATAAAAGCGTGTCGTTCATAGCACAAGTAGGTTATTTTATTTTAAGCCACTCAAATTAAAAGGAAACTTTTTTAAATTAGAGCTTTAAGAAATCTGATATATTAGCACATTTGTGACTAGGCTCTTTAATAGAATTTAAAGACTACAGTAAATTGAATGTAGTAATTTAAATCTTCAGATTAAAAAGCTAATTAATTTGCTTTGAACAATTCGAAAATACCATAGAAAGGATATTTAATAAGTTTTATTTTTAACTGGATGTTAAATTGTAAAGTATATATATACTTTGTAGAGAATTTATGCAATTATATTTATATTTAATCTTTTCAAATATTGAAAAACATTAACCAATAATAATCTTTATATTTAAATGTTTCATATAAAAATATCGTAAAAATGTCACACTTATTCGATGCATTTGCTAATAATACGACCAATTATACGTTTACAGTCTTAGGGCCGGTTGTTCCAACCTATGGTAAGCTACCTAATAGTTAAATCATATATTTATCTTTGTCTAATGTAAAGGATAAACAAAGACATATACCTATATGATTTAACTATTAGGTAGTTTACCAACAGGTTGGAACAACCGGCCCTTATTTACGCAAATAAGAATCCTATAATTACAATTTACACTCGGCAATAATTACTCGGCACTTAAATCGTGTTTTTTCTTTTACTTACAGATTTCAACTTGGATTGTTTATTTTCTTCTTCCTCACCTTCTCTTATTTCATCCTTTCCTTTCGGATTACCTTACGTTGAAGTTTATCCCGTGACGCATCAAAGCAGAGAGAACCCGCCCAACGATCTGGGATCTATCGACACGATCCATCGACCCACAACGAACGACCTATTTCGCGGCGTCGCGACGACGTCGCATCATCAGCAACGCAAGGACTATCTCAACGGCAGAGAACTGAAACGGGTTATCTTCCGGATCGCTAACAGCTCGAGCAACGAAACCGGGAGCCGTTTCATCGCAGCAGCGAGCCCGGTGTAACCATCAAGATTACCGGCCGCGGCGGTTGCGCCAAGTACTGTGGTACAGCTCCATCACCCGGCAACATTTCATTCTCCAGTTTTCGTCAGTCCTTCACCACCAATGTCAACTACCTGAAACGGAGGTAAGTCGCCGGTATCATATGCACGTCGGACTGTGTGGAGCTGACATTTGATCTCGCGTCTATTAATTTAACGATCTTCATCTACGGCGCTCGTTTATACGCCCAAAGAATTAAAATTATCTTCTTCATATCTTCCGTAATTTTATTGACGCATATGTACTGAAAAATGTCAGCCCGAATCTTGAATTTGCTTGATGGAACAAGATCGTTTATGCTTTTATGCAGTATAACTGTACTGCACAATTTTATTGCATAAGCCCTTGCCGATCTCTCAGATTGGTTCTATGGAATATTTCTTGAACGCATGGAGTCGATAATGCATTTAAGATTATACAAAGTCTCTAGAAAAGATCTGCGGATAAAAATAAATAATCTACGTGACTCATTGTCAGTGTTTTATGTCTCTTCCTCTCGTTACTGTCATTATGCGTATACACGTAAGCAATAATTTATAATTGCGAATAACGCTTCTATACTCTGTTATATTGTGCGCTTAATGCGCTTTTAACGTAATTACTGGTCGTATTCTGTTATCGGACGGGATCCAGAGATTCCTATAATTAAAATCCGGCATGGAAACATTTCGATCGAAACGTCGCTTTACCTGCAGAGTGAATACGTTGTTGAAAGGCATACCCGATGAAAGCTCGTGTATCACATCGCCGAGCTGAATCCTGCTTTTATGAGTGGCTCTTATACGGAGTCAATTTACGCACACTAGTGTGTATGCACGATAATGATCGGCCGTTAAAACGACGCGCGGGGTATCTCAATATTCCGTGCATTCTCAACTCTCAACGGTTCCCCATCACACCGGAGAAGAGAAAATAGATTCCTCTGTCCAATTAGTCGGACACAAGTACTTATCTGAAACGGCCATTAAGCAAGCAATAATATGTCAAAGTTATGATATTAAAAATTGGAATTACTCGACTCGCGCGAAGGTTCCCACACTAGTGAATGTGAAGCGATGTGCGAAAATTTGAATTTTATTAATAATGAGCTCAAAAGAAACATTTCTTTACTTTTTCCATATTTACAGCGTCGAAACTTCGATTCTTTAAAATTAATTCTTTAAAATACTGTTATCGATTGAAAGAAGAGAGAGGATTCTTTTAAATATCGAAAAAAATTGTGTCGAGATATTTGGGAACCTCTGCTTATCCAAAAGTGTCGCGCTAAAATGAGTACAGAGAGTTCGAGAACAAGTATCGTAATGTTGTTATTAATAATTTCAAGTCTTCCGTGTTCGGCAAATATGGATGTGTGCATGCGGCTCGTTAAAAATACCGCTTCCAGCATTGCCCCAAATGCAAGCAGCCTGGAGGCACGTCACGATATCAAGTCATCGCGCTAACGTTGTTTTACACACGGTATATAACGTTAGTATAACGCCACCTCTCCTCCCCCATCAGCGATATCGCATCTTTCATCTCTCGTTTTTATTTATGACGTAAATCTCGCTGTTATTTACGAATAACCACACATACGCTCGATAATGCAAATCGATGATGACGTAAATGCGCAAAGGCATGGTTTCGTGCGGATGTTCCGGCATCGTTCGCGTCTAGATACTCATTTTATTCAATACGCTTAAAACCATTTGAGTGGAAAAAAAGATTGCACCTAATGGATGAAAAAAAGGAACGGATATGTTACCTCAAACTGAAGCGGACGGTCGTCCACTTTGCAACCGAAATAGACGTAAGATCTGCGTCACGCATGCAGCGCCGGCCGATTAGCGACCGCCCAGCCTCATCGCCGACGTCATCTACATGCTCCTCATCCCATCAGCACCGTATGTGATCGATGTGCATTTAGCGCAGTCAGACACGACAGCGCCAGTGCGCGGCCTGCCGACCGATTGTCACTGTCACGACGACCACCATAGCTTGTCTTCCAGGTTCTCATCAGGGGACCTAAGCTCGGAACTCGACGATGAGCCCAACGCGGATCCTGGGATGGCCCCCGTGGGCCGACAGGATTCGTCTCAGTCGTATCAAGCGATGCCGGACCGACCTCTGCAATCCCAACCGGGTCCGATACCGCCGCCGTCCCAGCCGCCGATCCCGGGCGCGCCACCCCAGGGACCGCCGCAGCCCATCGGCGGCGATCTCAGTCTCAACCTGAGACCCGGCTCGCGGACCACCAGCGCACCATCCTCGCCGGCGAAGACAAGGGAGAGCTTGCTCCAGCGAGTGCAGAGCTTAACCGGCGCCGCTCGCGATCAGGCAAGTTGACTTCGTCCTCCTTATCTACATTTATCTGACATTTTCTGTCTGACAGAAATCGGTTTGAATAAAAAATAATAGCTTCATCACTTAACCACTATTAAAACTATGGATAAAAATATAGCTATTAATAATCCAGATTGAATAAGTAGTATTTCAAAATATTTCTCTCAATATCTCGCAATTAGTTGCGTTTTTTAAAGAGGAAAACTTGAAACTTTGAAATTTGACTTTCTCAAAAGCATTTTTTTCGTGTACTTCATAGCAAACTTAATTAAAATTTTCCATTTGGCCAGTTACTATGTTGCAAGGCGAGAATGTTATAATGTGTGACAGTTAGAATGATGCAAGGCGAGAATGTCATAACGTGTGACAGTTAAAATGATGCGTAGGGTGCTTCTATTTTGGGAGCGGCGGTATCTGGCGCGACCAGAGGCTCGTCATACAGCAAAGACCGATGCTTCACTCTGCTGGTGATCGATGACCAAAACACCGATTGGAGCAAATACTTCCGAGGGCGCAGACTGCATGGCGATTATGAGATCCGCGTGGAGCAGGCGGAATTTCGAGAACTGTCCCTGACAGCAAGCGAGGCGGGCACCGTTGTGTCCATGGCTGTCTATCGTAACGGGACCAAAGTTATTCGGTAAGATGAAATTGGAGAATAAGAATGCGTTTCTGCATTCCAATTTTAGCAATTCTCGGCATTAAATTAAAATGCATTGTTTATATCTATTCATCTTAGATTTCAATATTAAATTAAATATCAAGAAATAAGTTAAAATGATAGTTTGGAAACTTACAAGGTAGATTTGTCACGTGATACATAAAACAATTTTTAAATAGAATAACAAATATAACAGTGTAATAAAACAGTCAAAAAAGCAATATTGAGCAACGGATATTGTTATTTGTTATCAGATCCTTCAAACCTGATTTCGTATTGATACGTCAAAATCTACGGGATGCTGGAGAAGATTACAAGAATCTTCTTCTTGGTTTGATGTACGGCGGTATACCCAGCGTTAACAATCTCACAGCAATTTACAACTTTCAGGTAACGTATTGCGATAAAATTATCTGCTTTATAAATTTTCTAATAATTATTTGCAAAACAAATGTAAAACAGGAAATAAAATTTGTTAAGAATTTCGTAATCTCAATCATCTGCAAATAAATAAGAATCTCTAACAAATATAATATATTTGTTTATATACATATAATATATATCGAAACATGATTTTATTTTTGTTTATATCAAAAATTTTCAAAATTTAATTTGTATTTAAAATACAAAAATTAAATAGGATAATGATAAAAAATATATATATTGTATATATATATATATTGAGATTCTTCACATGTAATACCCTCTATTGATTTTGTTATGCATGTCTTTCTTATCGACGATATAAGTGAACCGTTCGGTAATTGCTATCGTGTTCTATAAAATAGGATAAACCTTGGGTATTTGCTCACCTGCTGGGACTGCAGCGTCGTTTAGGTAAAGACAACTTCCCCTTGATCGAACAGAGTTATTACCCCAATCATCGCGAAATGGTGAGTAAAATCAATCGGCACATATTTATTTCAAAGTTCCATTTCGTCGTATTCCTTGAAAAAAACTAACAATTATACTGTCAGAACATACTATCAGGATGATATGTGGCATGTTATAATAGTGGGTATGCTTATAAGAACAACTGTTTTCGTTTATTTTTATTCTACATGTCACATAACACTTACAAAAGTACCACATTTAAAAGCTAAACTAAGTTATAAGTAAAAAAGTTCGCCTCTTTCCGTTCAAAAGTGCACGTGCATATAAATTTTTAATAATTTGTACCAAATTTCGATCCAAATAAAATGTTTTCGTTTAACGATAAACTATATTATCGCATGCAACAATGATAGAAGTGGAAACAATGAATGCCACACCAAAATCTTCTACATATATTCATAAGGCTATAGATTCGCATATTCAGTGTTCTCATTTGATAAAATAGTTTATGAATATTAATCTACGTAAACAACAAATATATACGCAAATATATACGCTATAATCTAATTTAGATCTAAAAATGCGCATAAAATATTACGAAGTAAAGTACGAGTGAAGTTGTACAACATCTAAGACTACATACAACGCGAAACGATAATAATTGGAATAATTTAACGATACACAATATACATTAACAATATATAATATATATACAACTTGTTAAGAGAAAGAGAGACAGAATGATCGTGAAAGTAGGTCACCCATATATATTTCAGCGATGCATATTCACTCGTTTCAAACCTAAGCGATGCAAACTTACCCCTCGTTAATAATAATAATCGAATAATTAAGGGTCGGTTGCACTACAACGCCGGTCAGACCAATAATTAACTAATACTTTTTTTCTGTTTGTGTTATAGCCACAATGTTAAACCAGAACTGCCGTTATAAATTACGGGATAAAATTGGCCGACGTTGTTGCTATCGAACCTAAGTCACGAACAATTTAGACAACAGACAATTTCATATTTTTAACTTGCATTGTTACAATATTATTCCGATTCCTCGATATCGTTTCTGCCCGGCATAGAAATCTATAAAAAAAATTAGAACGAAAATTAAGGTCATCATTAATAATCTATATATAATTGCGTCCCTCACAAATGCTACAAGCTTAGGAATCTACTTTTCAGCTTCAAAAATCTAACGCATTGTCATTTTTAGATAAATCCGATTTTATTCGAAAGCGCTACTAAAAGTCAGTTTACAAAACCGCAGAGTGTTATCGCTTTTAATAAAATTATTTTTAAAAAACGGGAAATTTTTTGCCTCACGCATCCATGTGTATGCGGTAATCAATTATTGAACTATCCTGTTACTCAATTATTCCATGTAATATATAGTAGTGGTTCGGATCTCGTGCATTTTCACGTGCTGCAAATATGCAGTTTTCCATCAAACTACCGCAAAACCATTCAGTGGCTCGATCACGCGGCGTGCCCGTCATCAAATTATCCGGCGGGCACGCCGCGTCGTATTACACCCGATAAATTCTGTTGCTTTCCGTCGTACGAGGACACGATGCGGAGCATGATGCGAAAGTGCCAATTAAGGTTCCCGCGACCTTTGCTGCTCGCGTTTACGCTGGTATTCCTTGATACAATTCTTGTACGGAACCGAGGGAACCCAAGAGCAGCCGCTGGGCGACGCCATGCACACGCCGTATTTTTCTTGGCAATCCTGGGGGCCTGGTGTGCTTTCCCAGAGGCAATTCTTCCCGCCGCTGGACTCCAGCACGGCACCCTTGCGCCTCCAGTGTGTATACAGAATCTGCGATACAAAAACCAGGCCATTTTTTTCCGCGCCCTTTCTCGCGATCTCGTATTCTTAGCCGCGTAAACTCGCGTCACGAAAAAAGTCAGCCGTGATTGAACAAATGGGCGGATATCCGCGCGTGTGTGCAGACTCTTCGGTCGCGGATACGTATTTTTAGGACACTCGATTTTTTGAAAAGCACTCTCGAACCGTATAACATTGGCAGAGATTTACACCATACGTGATTTATTGCCTTAAACCCTTCACGCAGTGAGTCAGCGTCGGTTTCACGGAATCAGTCGAGAAAATATTTGATTTTGCGTATGATTTAAGTCTTTCTTCAATTTATAACCAAATAAAATTTGTATCTCAATCCAATTTATTTCTTAAAAATTCTTCTTTCTTTAATTTCTAAGTATATAATAAATTTGATTGTAATCCAAAATAGCTATAATCATACAATGTAATATTTCACAAAAGAAGCAATATTGTCAAAGGATTATGGCAATCATCTTCAATAATAAAATTTTAAAGCACTGCCGCTTAGTGTTAGATCATTTTGTGATCTCTAATAATTATAATACTAATTTAATACTAAATTTAATACTAATATGTTCTTCGATAGTAGGACATTAATAATTGAGAGAATAAATTTGAAGTGACAACAGATAAGATAATCCAACACTTACGTCACACACGCAGCCTTGTTGATAGAGTTGTCTCAATCCCTTGCGTTGCCTAGTAGTCGTGTCGGCCCATCTTATCGAGAGGCCGCAGTACGATATGAACGCTTTCCCCGAGACGATTCTTCCGTTTAGAACGTACGTATCGCCGACGTTCAATGTCACTCCGCACATCGAGTCCGTGGACGGTGTCCGTAAAAGGTTCTGCATCAGAGCCACGTCGGCCTTTGGGTTCGACTGCGGGAGGAAGAAGCAGAGGCGTACGGTTAAGTCTAGATTGCATTTCGCGATGAACGCACGACGAACGTTTCTCCGCGTGCGTGATGACGTCTCTCACCGGCACATAATACGCACCTTGAACACCCTGTTTATCTTGACCTTGTAAGCGATCTCGTAGTCGCTCACGGGAAGAATCTTTTTCACCCTCACCACGACGACTACGAGAAAAGAACGTCATTAACTGTGGCCGAACGACTTTTACGAAGATCAGAAAGTGATTTTCGCTATTATTTAGCGCACAATAATCGTATAATTTTACAAGAAAACTGATACGTTAGCTGTCAGTATAATTAAAAATACGTACAACTCATAATTATTACATAAAATTGAATATTAACATTCCTGTCACTAAAAGATAATAAAAATATATACTTTATATTTTTTGTACTATATAATCTTTATGATATCAAGAACTGATATCATAAAGAGATTATTGACCGTGAAATTACTGCCGTACCAAAATCCGATTCACAAAACTTGGTTTGAGGATGAGCCTGCGCACAGCTGCATGCCGCAGCTTTCTGCACCGGTGCTAACAGCACGGTTAGCAGCAAGAAGTGCGTCCACACGAGTAGTCGTCCCATCTGAAGAAAATTAAAGACACACATTGTTTACAACAAATAAAATAACCGCATTGGTTATACGTCAATATGATTGCTTTGATCGCTCAATTGCTTCAATTGCGTACAATTTTGAAAAGTGCAACGCGTATACAGTAGTTAATGCCAAGGTAATGCAAATGTAATTTAATCACCGTGAGATGAAACGTACGTAACGCGACGCAATGAAACTGTTGTGTATGCGGAAAATCCGTTTATCTGCGAAATCCGGTTACGGGTATTCAAGTTACTCCGACAACCGTGGTTGTGTTATGTGGCGAAAGATACTCTTGAAAGCACAGTGAAATTCACTTGGTGATAATTTAGAAGAAATAAGTGGGGTATTTTTTGGTTACTTTTATCATAGAATTAATATTAATTATCATTATTTAATTTTAATTAAGCCATCCTGATCACGAGGAATTTAGCAATCAATTATCGTGTTGCGGTATATTATTGTGAACTTTACAGCTTTATATTCAAATTATCATACATACAAGCGTACAATTTTCAACATGTGACGTTTAAATAAATATGTCGGTAAATAACGGTTCCAATTAATTAAGCATGGTATTATTTTCATTCAAGATGCAAGTACACAATTACAACATAGTATAATTGAATTGCAATGATTTTGATCCAATAAATAACATATTTGTACCGTGTCTGTATCAATCTGACAATATGCAATAAATATTAAATATTACTATTGCATGAAAATTGCAATGAAACGTTAATCGTTATAACATTTTCACTTGACACCTGGTAATCCAATAATTCCTCGGCAATTATGAAGTATATGAGAAGAGAGAAGATAACATAGATCCTCTTTCCGATAAAAGATGGAGAACTCGCACAAGGAAGTGCGCTAATCCGACCTAGTTTATCGTCGCCAGCTGAACGTGATCTAAACATAGCTGCAAAACGGTAACCAAAGTCGAACGCGATCTAGAAACACTTTGCGCGGCCAAAAATGTCTCATTGAGATGCGTCTCTCTATCGTCTTAATGAAAATAAACATTAAGAAACTAAATTATGAACAGCTTGTACCAACTATTAATTGTGATAACATTTTAGATATATCTATGCTATGTTTATCAATACAGAAAAATCTTTTGACATGCAATATTATTATAATTAAAAAAACGGTTACACTTTTTAAAATAAATTGTCGAATACGACACATTCGCCAATATTCCGCATAATAAAGGATAAAAATTTCTATGTAATGTGAGAGATGTAATTGTACATAAATCAAAATTTTCTTGTCCCTCTTGTTGTGAAAAAGATCCAAAAAAGCGATTCTCCGTTAGAGAGTGATAGAAGTACGATAACACTAGAAATGTTTGTCGATTTGACAAATACAAATCCACAAATACACTAAAATGTGCGAGATGTGGAACATCGTGCGTTCAACAAATGTAACAATATTCAGATACAGAATCGCTATAAACGACGAAACGCACAGGTCGGTTGAATGAATATATCAGGGGCGCTTTATATTCTGAGCTCTGCGAGTTTATGGTGTTTCGGCTTTTTCACACCGACCCAATTTGCATGGAAGCTTTGTGCCCGCTCGTCTTTCTCCGGGCAAATCTCTGCGAGATCCACTACGATATATATCGTAAAGAAACAAGGGCGCAGTTATTGCTATGGAGACACATGTAGGGATACCAGTATATCCGCGACCACAACGATATATAAAATCGTTGAGAATCCCTCAACATAATAAAGATAACTGCGTTATCTTTATATATTCGTTTGTCACAGTGTTAGAATTATTAGAAATAACTACAACAATTCTTATACATGTGCATTAATATATTCCTATATTTTAAAAGAAAAAGCATCGCAATACTTCAAAATTGAAATAGATTTGTTTCAGCTCGCGCTTATATGTATATAATCGAAAGAAAATGAGCGATGTACGGATCTAAGCTACGCGCAATGTCGTAGACCTGGTAATCATCATTTGTGTTTATGCGAATTTATTATCTCGACTCGTTCTTGATTACAGTAATGTACCAAAGTGGTTTGCCCGCAAGAAAATTTACCGGTCGCGTTTAAATAGCGGGATCGCGTATAGTAAGGCTTACTGATCAATCCGTAAAAAAGAAATTACAAAAAGAATAGGAGTCAATAAAGATAATCGTTCAAAAGTAAAACAAATATATTTTCTATTTTCTAAAGTAATCATAATTGTAAATCATAATTGTTTGTTAATAAATATATAATTCATTTTACATATAGATTAAATTTATTATGCCATTGTTTAATTTTATTTGTAATATTTTTGAAGCAATCAAAGTATAATTTTGATACAATTTATTTTTACAAATTGTTAAATATATTTATATTATAATTGATAGCATGGATTTTAAATAATGTGAATATACATTAATTAATCTGTAATACATATAATATTATTGATTAATATCTAAGAAAATAGCTAAGCATAACGTAACAAATTTCTTTAGTCATCGTTTTCATAAGATTAACTTATTTCTAATTGATTCAGTCATTTCAGTTAATCGCGGGTTGACATTTGCCTTTCAGACTCACAAACATATTCATCTAATCGCGAATCACGAATAGTTGCGAGAAAGAAAATAAAACGTGGCCTTCACATTGCAACATTTGCATAGGATCATCATAGCCTTGTTATGAATCGATTGCGGTCTGAAACAGTTTCACTTGAAAGATTCGTATTCATTTCATCAATGCGAGTTCTAAGAAGAAATATACATATGAGAACGACGAACGACAATGTCGCAAGATTTATCTTTACTTTAATCAGCAGAATTAACGGCGGATAATTTTATAAATAGTCATCTCTTCTTAAATTGCATTTTGACGCGAAAAATGATTATACAATATTATATATCGTTATTACAGTAAAATAAAAAAATTATAAATTAAAAATAATCATTTTCTTCGTACTATAATATCTACTTCAAGTGAATTTTCTCCATAAGTTGAGATGCCAGAATTAAACGTTTGATTGAGCGTAATGATCGAACATACCGTTAAACCGCTCGGATTATCGAGATTCTACGGTGTTGGCGAAAGGATTTATATGGGCAACGTTCGCCGCGTCCACACCCAGATAAGTGTCCTCGCGCGACGTTCGCCGAACGCGCTTCATGCATCATCATGCAAAACGGATTGATTGAGGGGCTGATGTCACAGGCGGCCGATGCTGTATATACACTCGCATTATTTTTATTTCCGTTTGCGACAATAAATATCACGGTGCGTATATATGTGTGCGCGCATATGTAAGAATACGGCATTATACGTCTGCCGGTGTTCCACGCCTCGTGATGCATCGCGATGACACGGTGTCGCGCGATTCGTCACGCGCCTCAGGATTCACTTCGCGACCCCATAAGCGAAGCCGCCGCCGACGATGGTGGCGGTGAACATCGTAATCATACGCACGATTATACGCGTATGCGTAATGCGCACTTGCCTTCACTCGTGGAGTAAAGTCGCGCGCGAAATCGCGTGGCGAATGGATGTTGAGTGCGGCGCATTTTTCCGCGAGATCTCTTCACGATTAGAGATATGAAGAATTAGATTGGCTAATGTAACATGAAAGATCCATGAGTAATTTATGCAATTAATTTTTAATTGATCGGCGTAATCCTTATTTGGAAAATTCTAATTTAAAGGAAGAACAAATTTAAATTTATTCGCTTAGAAATGAATAATTATTATCAATCTAGCCAAGAATGTCTTTAAATAATTTTGCACTCCTATAACATTTACTGATTATAAAATATAAATTCGATATGTTTATTTGAAGTGCAAGTTATTGCATTATCAATATTCCTGACGGTCGATTAAGTCAATTTTCGCAATCAAATAGGTTCACGTCATTTTACAAGTAAGATGAAGTTATTACTTTACTAATATATAATGTATTGAAGTATCTATATATAATGCTACAATCCGATAAATTGTACAACGTAATTTACGATTCATAATTCTCTTTCTCTCTCTCTTCCTTCTATCCGTCGCACAAATTTTTAACCTTCAGATTGTAGATATGTGAGCGAGTCGCACCAATTAACCTTAAACTCTGGAGAGATTATAGTGAAGAATTGTTATCGTCGACGAGTACCGAGCTGCTTCATATCTCCGCGTTATATATCTCCTATTTATGATAATCTAAGTGCGTGGCGGAAATATGAACTTTTATATAGAATAGCGGATTCCTGAGATTTATTTAAAATGTTTTTCGATAAGTAAATATATATAAAATTATAACAGTCTAATTCTCTATTTTTTTGCAGTTAAACTACTCGCGTAAAATATTAATTTTTCATTTTTCTTATTTTTTTTTCATGAGCGTGTTAATACGTATGGCATTGTTCAACTTTCTTTTCTACATAATGTGGCCTCTCAAGTATAAAGTAGAAAAAAATAACTACCTCAGACCTGTTTCTCTTGCTAATTCAGCCTTATTCTGCATTAACATTCCACAATTGCGTCATTATTGTATCAAATATACATAGGTATGTCCAAACTCAGCACCTTGCAGCACGAGAAGAATTTTGCACTTTGGACATTTCCTCATTGGATTCCTTCAGCAGAAATTTGTAACCCGATGCGCACATCCGCCATAAGCTGCGTAATACAGACACTACGTAAATACCTCGCGACCATTACGAGTTATTTTTCAACTCGCTTTCACATTATTTTCACGTATTATTAAATTAGTGTTGTTTAATTATGGCTGCGTTCTGATATTCCTGCCAGTATTGAAAATCTATAGTGTACGTGTCGTAAACTTCAGTACTGGCAGTGAATATCGGAACGTACCCTAATAGGTGTATGAAAAAAGAAAAAATGGAAAAATGTTACGTAAACAGGTGAATAGAATAGAACAAACGATATAAAAATGATTTACAGTTAATATTCATTGGTTAAATTATATATATATATATATATATATATATATATATATATATATATATATG